ATATGCAACTTGTGTTTATGTATTTTGTGTTAAAATAATATAGAAACACTTACGCGCACACCTGAACACACACATATATATATATATATTTATTTATTTATATATGTATGTATGTATGTATGTATATATATGTTGATATCTTCTGTCAGTATCTATACATGTTTTATTGTATGTACTTGTTTGAAGGTAGTAAGTGTATCCACCCTTGTGATGTTCAGCACTGTCTATTCCAATGTAACAACTTATAGAACCCAAAGCAACGCTAAGCACTCGTCTGCCCTTTGCAATTGCCAGACTGTTCCATACTATCGTGTATGATCGGAGTCAACTGACGTGGATTTGATTTGAATACCGCGCTGCCCGCAACAGTCATATTAGTCCCCGAATTTTGCGTATAGCGCCATTCGTCTTCCTCGATAGTTTTATTTTAGATGGCTATCCCATTATGTATTCATTTTTGTGTGTGATTAAGTTGATATTTGCTGCAATAAGAACATATAAGTCGTCCTGCGTGTTAATGTGATTCTGTTTTGAGTGTGGGCAATATCACGGGGTAGGTGGGGTTTGGTTGGAGTGTCATGAGTACTAGTTTCGCCATACTATACGCACCATGTCGTCGTGCTTTCACTTGATTGCCGTTGCTCTGCTCTGACAATTGATACATAGCGATGTGCGGACAATATCTGCTTGATTGTGCTCCTCTCACCGTTAGGAACCAGATCGATGCACTGTATCATGTATAGTATCTTGTCCGTGCAATCATTTTAAATTCAAATTGTCGATGAGGAGTCTCACTTATAACAAGTCCCTGTAAATGACCCGTTCGCTTGTGAGTACCCAAGCTTCTTCACAGCGAGAGTTCTGGATGTCAGAGTCCGGGCAGTATTTACGGTTCTGTCGAACGCTTCAATACGTGAACATACCAATCATCAGTCATTCCATCTTTAACAACACTGTGTGTCTGCCCACGGACGGCATAGCCAACATTGATTCAGTCAGTACGCAAACAGCAAGTCTGGTGACCTTGGCATGTGGTGAGGTATAATCCTCATTCTATATAAAGCTTCAACCCTTTGCAGTCGAAACCGAAGCGATGTAAAGTCAAGTGCACGTTTACACAATGACAGTATGTTGATCATTTGAGAGACGCTTTACATCCAAGTTGGAGCCCTGGGATAAATTAGAAACTGTACGCTGTGCCGGGCTGGTCTGTGTTTGCACGCACGCTACTGTTGTTGTTACCCTTACTTGTGGCGAGGAACTTCCTGTGGAGGGACTGAAAGTCACCTCGCGCTCGAATCGGGGATCCAGTTTGTCTGTGTATTTGGAAAGAGAATGTGAGTTGGACTTTGTCGACGTTACGTTCATGAAAATTAAGGTAATACTTCCGCGTGTAGTGGGAAGCGAGTATGAACCTGGAGAGGTGCAATATATAGATTTGATAAAACAATATTTGACACTGATGTGTTTTACATGAATTGCAAGTTCCTTGTACCAACTTCGAACACCCGCGAAATAGGAACTATGCAAATATCTTTAATACAGTGCGCATCCAAAGCCCTGGATTTCGTAAAGCACGTGCTAAGTTGTTCTCATATCTGTACAATATGCTTTTAATCACGCAACCACACATACACAAATAACATGGGTGAACAGATATACATGATCACATCTGTGCCTGTTGGTACAATATTAGCTTAGGCTTATTGATTCGCTCATATTATAATGTTGTCCAACTTAACAATTCAAGAACATGTTTATTAGCCTGCTCATCACATATGTTCAGTATCTGGTCACAGAGAGTACATACAAGAATAAGGCACGTATGAATACATATCTATATTTTCATAAAAGTTACAAATTTGTACAAGTTTCAGCTGTACAGTCGATTTCACTGAGAATATATACGTACATTTGATACTATATTCATACGAAGCTTTGAGTAATGAAATCATATGTGGACATTCGGAAATACCCATATAAATATGTACACATACACATGCCCTTTTCTTTATGTCTAAGGCCATATATACAAGGCCATATATACAATCATACGAGTGTCATCACAGCTAGAAATATGAAGTTATGTCCAGATTGAAACATATTACGAGTTCGTAACAGACAGGTACACGTTACAAATGGTAATCGGCTGATATGCATCGGGATTAGCCCGTGGTTGGTTTGCTGATGTGCATGTAGTTCTTGGCACATAATACTTCGCAATATATATCCTACATATTCAAATGTTCATTCTTTAGCGTAAGCTTAATTACTCGCATGTAGCTAGTAACATCGCACATGTGCATACAGAAAACGCACTGAATATATGTAGGACGAAATATATATATCCGGAGATAGATCAAACTTACATCGTATAAAGTAGAACAGCGAAAGGTACGAGTCCAGCAGGAATAAGACCATAAGCGCAAGAACCATAAAGCTCTGCACGATGAATGCTGGCAATTGCCAGATTCCCCAGCTGTGTAAGATAATCACTGTCACGGTATTGATGGCAAGTAAGCGTCGGATCTGATGGAAATCGGAAAATTGAGCACTAGCGTGTCGTGATTGATAAGCATACTTAATCCAAGCAAAATTGCAAATAGCGTGCGCCACGGCCATCGGAGCATGATGAATTCGAAGGTTCAACATCAGGACAGATACCAAGCTTGCAATCGTGGTAACTATGTACATGGCTCCTATACACAGAACCGTGTTTCTGTACGTGTTCTTTGGAGTTTGGCTCAGATTGGGGTTACAAAACAGATATACCATCTGACGTTGTCGTCCCACGACTGCAGAGAAATAGAGAAATGTGGTCAGGTTTAAACAGATGTCCATTCCCGCCCTTCCCAGATTGGTAGGGGTGAAGATTCCTGTATCCGTCAGAACGTATGCACAAAATACTGGGATGCTTACAATATTCGAAGCAAGTACTTGTGCGATAAACACCCGACCCCTGTTCAACACCACCGGATGTTTACGCAAACGATACGCAACAATCCCAGACCAGAGAGTCACAAGTAGACTAAGCGACGCGGCGATCGATACGAGCGTGACAGCGACAGCATCCTTGCGTGCCCAACCTTTGATTGTGGCTGTATACAATACTAGTCCGCTTGATAGGTATATACTAAAAACGATGGGGAAGATAATTGTCCAAAAGAGACGCTTGGCAAAGGGTGTGTATCCCTCCCACGTTGCTGTTTTTCCTGTTTTCCTTGAAGCCGTCTTTGTTTGTGTCGATGTTTCCTTAGCAGATATTGTCGCGCCTCCAGTGGACAAGAACTGATGTGTTTTCATGTATGAGTGACTGTCATTTAGTTATGTTAAGCACACACTTGGTCGCAATATCTTCATGAAAGTGTAAATAACCCTCTAGACTGATCTAACTTTGACATATCTTATAGTAAGTGGTGTATGCGTAGGTATGCGCCCTGGGTACAAATACGTATATAGTAGATACGCGGTCCGGACTATAAGTCGTTCTACACGCACACCCACTTAAGTATTTAAACGTAAACGGTTTATTTGCTTGTGTTGAAGTGCAATATTATGGTATAGTAAACATGCATGAGCGCGGGTATACGGAATATGACACACAAAATATATCTTGGCATCTGATACAAGGCACGACATGTTGGGTACTATACTATATATTTATGATGATTGACGTTCGTACCGCAATTGCAGGTTGCACACTTACGACGGAATTGAATGTAACCTGGCGTCTGAATTTAAAAGCAAAGATTTCAGCTTTGTCCACAATGACATACCATGACCGAAGTGAAATCAACAGGCCCGGGTGTGCCCAAATCAATATCTGTGTCTGTGTCTAAGGGCGGATCTTCCGGGCGTTGTTTAAGGTTTACATTTTGTGAACACTCCATTCCAACGTCATGTTCGTACTTAATCGTGATGGCGTCACAACAAATGTCACTCGTGGTTTTCCCATATGGTTTGGGTTTGCACGAAAGCTTCGATTTTTTTTGTCATGACTGCGTAGCTGAATATGGATTATAATACCTACATAGCAGACTTCAATATGAACTCAAAAGTGGCAAGAAGAACCGAGTGCTTGATCTGTTATATACCAAATACATATCTAGCCTCCTGAAAAAAAAAGAATACAAAAAACAAAAAAGCAATATTTATTTTGAAAAAATATATATTTTTGTACTCTTTTGTTTAGGGTTTACTAAACCCTATAACCCTCTTTTGTTCACCCGGTCACAATTTTTGTTTTTAAAAAACAACCTAAGCCTTGTGTTATGTTTTGTGTTTTAGTAAAAAAGTTGTTCTTTTTTTTAAAAATATATACATACTGTAAAGTCTATGTTTACATACACCTCTTGATTTCTGTTTTTCTTTAAACTGCTCTTTTGTTTTAAAAAATACATTAAAAACATCTAGTATTTTCTTGGATTTTTATATCACCAGTCCACATTGCGAACTCGGAGATTCTCCGAGGTAGGTATTTTCAATACAATTTGTACCAGGAGTAAATATTTTGACATGCACTAACGGTACAAAGCCTCAGGAGATGATGAGTCATAAATTAAGTCGGAGATTCTCCGACTTCTCAATTCTTAATTTGAAATACTATTTCAAGACTATATTTTGGCAAATTTATTTATTTTATTCTCTTCTGGTCAATTTTTTTATTTAGATTCAGAATTTTTTATGATTTTAATTTTGGTCTTGACTAATGCAACAGATCCGTTTTAGAAATTATCTTGATTTTGCAATATACAAGTGAAATGAGGTGATTTAAGACGTCTTTTAAAAAGGTAGAGAACTAGTAAATAGGCCTACCGAAAAACTGTCTTAAGGAGCTATAGACAGTTTTCCTTTTTCTTGAAATCGCGTGCGAAACATATTAGAAAATCCTACTGCTAAGGATCATGGCACTCGGCCCATTTTAAGGCCCGATTTAGGTCGGAGAATCTCCGGATTTCAAAAAAATATTTTTCGGTAAAAATTTTGTAACTCGGAGAGTCTCCGGGTTCAAGGTGGACTGGTGATATCTCTGATATGGGGTATAAGTCGCATAAGCTAAATATAGAAAACACAAAACTTCTACCCTTGAAATTGTCAGTATGTTGTAGGGATAATACTATTTATTTCAAGAGATAGGGCTACTCATAGTGTGTCATCACTTTTGTCAGTTTTTGTCAGTCAACAATCGAGCATTTGTGCTTCAAAATCGTTAATGGTGCTCATAAATTTTAAAAATCTGGATACCTGTGGGCTGTGGCTCCTGTATGTAGTTATGTAAATACACATGATTTAGAAAAAATTATAACTGTAAACCGGCAGAAGCCATACTCAAAACCACCTTGAAATGCTCCTTCTAATTTTGCTTTAAAACAATTGTTTCTAAAACAAATGTGGGAGCCTACGCCCTACTATGGAGACTACACACTCCATACAAATACCATAGGACTCTGGAGTCTGGGACTGGAACTTTGGAAGTCTGCAACTCTGCATTCCTTTTTACAAACCCCACGCTTGAGAGTAACATTGAACAAAATTAACATTACAGTGGTAGTCTATACTCTACAATACTCTATATTTACAATAAATAAAACACCGCTGACGTAGGTTGGAAACTAAAAGATCTGAAAAGAGGGGGTTATAATATTTTTAATATTTTTGTGTTTTCGTACCCATATTTGTCTCGCTAAAGCGAGCCCCAGGATGGTTAAACTGCATCTTCAATTTCGGTTCACGTTTGGGTCCAGATTTCCAATTTCTTTTTGGTTGTTGTTGGGAGGGGGGGGATGGGGGGGGGGGTTTCGACTGTTCGTTTCCTTTTACGTTAATTTTTAATTTTGGGTTTTCGTACCCTTGTTTCTTTTAGGAATGCGCGCCTCATGGTTTTAAAAGTGCAACTGAATTTTGGTTCACGTTTCGGTCCAGACTTCCAAAAAAAACCCCCTGTTGTTATTGAGGGGGCGGAGGGGGGAGGTAAGCCCCCAATAACCGTATCTCTTCTATTGCTGGTATCACATCGTGTTTCTTGTATTTGGCCTTTCTATGTCTCAAATGGGCATAAAAAGCATTCACTTTATTCCTTATTTGGATAAATATAGTTCAGAGGGACCTTTTAGTGATAAAAAATACTAGTAAATACTAAAATACATACTTATATACACGCATAGCCATAGCCTCCTAAATGTTTCAATGTAGAAGGCTATGGAATAGCCCTCTAAATTTACAGTACATGATGCGCAACTTTCAATTCTCATCAGTAAAGCAATAAAGCATATGTAGCTATTTAAAAAATTCCCCTCTTCAATTATAATTCTGCTCATTTGGGTTGATTACTCATTTCTCTTAGTTAGAATATATTGTTTTTTTTAAATAAATAAATATTATTTGTACTCGTTTAATTGCTGGTTCCATAAAAACAATTATTATTTTTGATATCCTACCAATAGAAAGATACTCGTTCGTTTATCATAAATACCATAGTGACATTACTATTTATTTTTTAAAATATTTGGTTTCTGCTCATTATTGTTTTAACAAAAATTGATATCAAGGCACAATGTTCAATGCCCTTCGGACAATAGTCCGATCAGGTATATTATTTTGTTTCTTCTCTACTCTCTAGAGTAGAGTCAACATGCGAGTAGAGAGAGGGTCAGTATTTCTTCCCTACTCTAGCTAGACTGACTAGAGCGGGTCATGGTTCAATATAAATAGGAGGTTATGGCAATTGGCTGCTGAGTGTTGACAAAAGGTTAAAAAAATCTGAAGGGAGTAAAAGGCAGCCAAATATTTTTTTAAGCATTCTATTTCAAACAAAGTATGAAAACGAAGTGGAAGGACGTTCAATATTAGACTAAATATGTATAGGTAGGAAAAGGAAAGACGAGGCTTTTCGCCTTTTCGCGATATATCTATATAATATATGTATATATATATATATATATATATATATATATATATATATATATATATATATATATATATATATATATATATATATATATATATATATATCTATATATATACATAATAGATATATATATAGATATATATATATATATATACCTATAACTA